TTATTTTTAATTAAAATAAATTTAATCAATAATTTTTTTTAAATCTTTTTTTATTTTTTTTAATTTAAAAAATCATTGACATAATATTTTTTATTTTTAATTATAATAATCTTTTTTAGATATAAGTAATTTTTTGGTATTATTTGTTTCATTTTATAAATGTAAGTATTTTTTTTTGTTCAAAAAAGATTTAAAGACTTAATCGTTTAAAATATGGAAGTTTATTGGTTTTTTTTTTTTTCGAGATTTTTTTTATTATTTTACGACATTAACCAGTTTTATAAGTCATAAGGATGTAACTAACATGTTTTAGAAAGTTCAAGAAACTATTTAGTAGGTTTTGGAATGTCCAAGAACTTACTTGTTTCAAAAAGTTGTCCAATGACTTAATCATTCCAAACTCTAAAGTCAATTGAAACTTTTTAAACTTTCCTCGTTAAAAAAAAAGAGAAAAGAAGATAGATAAAGTAGAAATCTTTAAATTTGAGAAAATTTTAAAACTCTGGAGAAAAAAAAAATTATGTCTATCATAACAATAAATGTACTGGAATTAAATGTGTATTTTGATCGTTAAGATTTTGAGTTTGATTTTCGGTAGTCATATATAATTCGAGTGCTTGCTTACCCACATAACAAATAGTTGAGATGACCATAAACCGAGCCAAACACATCACAGTTATAAAAAACAAAATATACACTGTTTTTCTATAAAAAAAACATAACATATTTCGAACAAAAAGAAATGTCCAAAGAATTATGGATCTTTTGTTTGATATTTATCGACCATTGCTCATAAAGATTATAATTTACACGAAAATATGAAATCGGGTGATGCTTAATGAACCCGTTTCTATTCGTTAATTAAACCCTCCTACCGATTTCATAAACATCAATATCAGATATATTTTTTAACATTCTCAATGCTATGATTTGATCCAAAAACATAACGAAATAAATTCACCATTTGATATTAGTATTTTCGAACCAAATTTGCTTGAATACCTTGATGATTAACTCATGATACTCGTCGGAATTCAGTGAGAGATAACATGCAAGAAGATCTTCCAAATCCTTTGAACTCTTGATGTTATTCTCCATTATCATCTCCACCATTGATTCTTTGAAATCCTTGTGAGGATTTACAGACGTTTTCACCACCGCCATACTCGCCGACAACCCCCGCCGGTTTCCAATGCTTTTCCGGCCACCGTTTATGGCCTGAACCCTAACTCTGTTTCCTATTCTCGGAGAGTAAATGTTACCTTTCGCTTTTCCACCTGGGAGTCTTTTAACCTTCACCGATAAACTCCCGCCTCCTTCCTCTATGACCCATTTACCCGACCCGAATTCCTCTGGTTTCGCTGGCTTTGTTATAATCGGCGGTAGGTCGAGTTTCCGGTAAACGTCATCATAATTTGAAATCGTTTTACAGGGGCAATTCAGAGATTCAGGCGATTGGAATTCAGTATCGGAGGAATTGGAGCCTGGGTTGGATTCTGTCCAAACGGACTCCGGCGTGACGCGACAATGGCATTTTACGACGGAATTGAGTTCTCCGGGTACCGAATTCCGGTGAAGTGGTTTCTTCTGAGTGATGGGTCTTTTTTTCTTCGATGATTTTCGTGGCGACTCGGGTGAATCTTCCTTCTTCCGGTTAGGCACATTTAGGTCTCTAGTGAAGTAGTAGGACTTCCGTTGAACCTGATCGTCGTTGTGGGTTTTGGTTAGGGTTCCGGCGGAGGATAACGACGATGAGGATGAGGAGCTTGTGATTGATTCCTTCTTCGTCATTTTGCTGCTACTTTTGTTATCTTTGAGCTTGTAAAACCAAGAATTGGGTATCATATTCGATATTCTAAGTCTGTAATTGGCCATCGGAATAACTCGTCGGAGGTGGAAGTCTGGTTTTTCGGGCGAGAAAACGAAATGGAGGTTTCTGGAGAAGTTTGTTTTGAAATGGAATAGTTGTGGGAGGGAGTGTGTTGCAGGAAGATAAATAGAAGGTACGGCGGTGAAAGGTGGGGTCCATGAAGGGCAAAAAAGTCACATAAAACACCAAAATGTAGTAGGGCCCTATGGTGGGTGGTAAAGATGCTTAATTCTCATTGGTTTAGACCCGTATTAATTTATTTTTATATTAATTTAACCAAAAAGTTGATTATGAGTAATTTAAATTGATTCCCGTACATACCGTGTTTAAGCACACATATAAAACCAACTTATTTGGTTCACTTAGCAGCTGAGGTTAGAGAACAAGGTCGGACCCGAGTCTAATCTTGTGTTTGGACAAAGGTGCGTCGTTTTTTTGTCTACTGAACTACATACCGAAGGCATTATTTATATTTATACTAATCAAAATGGGACAAGTGTAACCTTAAATGAGATTTTAATTAAATCCATGACCTTTTCATGAGTATAGATCCATTTTTTTATATAGTCAATAGGTTATGAATTTAATTAAAAACTCTTCAAAATTATATGCCTAAATGACTCGTATGTATATTGTAGTAGAAAATGAAAATGAATGAATAACTGGTTAACTAAAATTTGGACCGCTAAGGATTGATGATCAATTAAAAAAGGGACATTTTAAAAGACATTCCATCTAAGGACCAGTTATAGATGAAAGCTCGTTGTTGTCCTAAATTTCCAACATAGAACCGGTCTTTAATTGGCTAAAAAGAACCCAAGTAAAGCTTTTAAACAGATATTGGTTAATCGAAAACCCGTCTAATCAAAACCTAAAAAAACCGGTTCAGTCAAAACCTGAAAAAAACTGGTCATGGCCTGCTGATTTTACCCCAATTATTTATTATAACTAAAAGGACTTGTGTTTTTAAGATTGGTTAAGACATGGTCCTTGTGAAACTCTAGTAAAGAAACATTTTGTAAAAAACTCCTAAGAAGAGTCAAATAAGTGTTAATTTTGTACCAAAATAAACCAACCAATCACATTCCAGTCGTACCAATTTAACTGGTATTAATTTAAACTTAGTTGGTACGTGATATTAAAAGTCGTGTACCATGGTAATATTGTACCGTATTGACTTATTTTTAATTATTTATTAACTAAAGTTTAATCAATAATACAACATATCTTCATTTTTAAATTTTTAATTATCTTATTTTCACTTTTTTTTATTAACCTGGATATCCAACCCACTATGGAAGCTGACTAATCCCAAGGTGATCACCTGCTTTGCAGATAGCCCGAAGTCACCGAATTTGAACCTCCGTAGCCATAAATAGATTTTTATTCATGCTTGGATTTGAACCTGGGACCTCCTGATACTTATTTTCACTTTTGCTAACTTATAATATGTACGGATACACAAAACTTGATTGAATTCATTTGCATAACCCTAACAACCGTAATAATTTGCTCACATCTCTATGGTCCATCGTCGCTCCTCAACGGTCACTTGTATTAGACTACTAGTGAAGGTTGGGATTATATGAAAATTATTTGAATATTTGTATAGGTACCGGTAAATGGTACAGTATATAACATGTTATTTGAATGCTTGATGGTTTTAATTTAATTCATTTGGATAAACTACAACAAAATTGGGTTTATAGGACATCAAAAAAAATTAAGTGTCTTAATAGACTGGTTTATATAACTTAACTTATAGGAACAAAAAATAAAATGTCCAATCTAAAAGCGTTGTAATAAGTTTATTAGACGCTTTTAGGGTCTTAACAAGTTTCTTAGAGCATTTTTAATACAAAACGTTCCATGAGTAATTTTATAGGACACTATTTGAAAAAGTGTCCTATAAAAACAAGCATCCTATAAAAAAATGAGTTTATAGGACACTTTCTGAAAAGTATCATATAAAATTGCTAATACGACGTTTTGTATTAAAAACGTCCTAAAAACTTTTTAAGATGTCCAAAAACGTGCTTTCAACTTATTATTACGCCTTCAAATAGAACGTTTTACATTTTAGTCCTATAAAATAGGTCTTACAAAGCAGTCAATTTTTTTTTATTAACAAGAATATACAATCCGTTATGCGAGCCGACTAATCCCAGGGTGACCACCCGTGGAGTCACCGCATTTAAACTTCTGTGGCCACAAGGGGATCTTTTTATTCCTATTTAAATTCGAACCTGGGACCTCCAGACACTTTTGATCTTTGGAGCCCAAGTTCAAACCAATCAGACACCACCCTTATGATTACAAAACAGTCATCTAAAACACTTATAAATTGTTGACGTCCTATAAGTCCAATTTTGTTGTAGTGATATAGTTGGTAAGGATGTCAATATAGACAAAATTGTAACTTCTACTTTTACGATGTTGGTACCAACCGAAAAAAGTTTGGTATGAATTTAGTTGGTATCCACTATAATTAATTGGTACATGATATAAAATTTTACGTCTCAATTAGAATCGGTTGCTACACAGTACTCATTGAATGTAAGATTTTATTTTATAATATCATTGCTTTATCTTTTTTATTTTCGATTTATAATAAAATTTTATATCCAGTTATATTGTAAATAGCTACATTTTGAATAATAGACTGTTTGAGATGAATATAGATCGTAAGCAAAAAGATTTTACAAGTGTGTCGGTCCTTATAATTTCCCTTTTAGTTTAGAGGTTGGTAAGAAGTCGTTTTCTCTCTTTTTTGTGGCTTCATTTTTTTTCCTAATCATGGTGTCATATATTTCATTATTTAATTAGTGGGTAAATTGCGTTGTTACATATAGTATTGTGTTCTACTTTTTAGTTTAGGAAAATTATTTTCAAAGGTTTTTTTTTATGTCTTCAACAATAAAGTTTTATGAGATTTTTTTCTTTTAATCTTAGGTCTTGTTTGTTTTTTCATTTTCAGCCTTTGATTACCATTATGTTTGATTCGTTCAAACGTTTTCTAATTCAGACTGTTTGTTTTTTTTTTAATTATTTTAAAAGTTTCTTATCATTTAATAGGGTCTGAATAAATAAGAGGTAAAATAATATCTTAATTCCTTTTATTTTTCTTTTTCTTTGATTCTCTTTGGCTATTGTTTCTTTATCCACCAATGTAACAACCCACATATGCTATATACAGATAATTCACACATATTCTCATAATATTAAAAATAGTATTGTTACAAAACACAGACTAACAAAAACTTTCTTTAATACATTTATGAGTAAACAAATGTCATCAACATTAAACTTTTCCCTTTCCTTTATCCTGCGAGGTATGATGACCTGCAAAACCGGTTAGTCCAACAACTGAGCGTTAGACCCAAAAGGTCTAGTGAGTGTATATAACTCATACCAACAACATACTTTCTTAACTAGCAGTTTAGAATCAAACATGTTTATCACAAACATTTTATCAATATCTATCACATATCTTTTCATCTCCCTCGCGGTTACACCGCTATTTCATCTCTCTCGCGGTTACACCGCCATTTCATCTCTCTCGCGGTTACATCGCCATTTCATCTCTCTCGCGGAATGTAACTTTAATCAATTTTAGTCGGATAAGGAATCCGGTCATCATTGTCCGGATATCAAGTTCGGATAAAGACTTGGAACAAAACGTGATAATTCGGACATGGCTTGAGCGATTTATCTCTAAACCGAACAACACTTGGGCGGTTTAAGAAGATATTCGGACAACACTTGAGCGGTTTAAGAATAAACCGGTCAACACTTGGGCAGTTTAAGGAAATATCCGGACAACACTTGAGCGGTTTAAGAATAAACCGGTTAACACTTGGGCGGTTTAAGGAGATATCCGGACAATATATAAAACATAATAAACCGTTTCAAACAATTACAATTGTTATACCACAATTGATACATCAAAGCATAAAACACTCACCTTATAATACTGATCGAATTCAAGTCTGCGATTCYCCTTCAGTCTTCACTCTCAATTGATTCTGTTCTCAAGAAAATTCAACAATTCCCTTTTTCCTTTCATATGCACTTGCTATAAATAGCAAGTGCATAAGCCGCCTCTCATAAAAAATCCACACTCACATACACAATAATATAAAATATTCATATAAACATAAAATTTTAAGTTATTAAATCTTATTTAATAACCCGAATATTACAACATTCCCTCCTTAAAAGAATTCCGTCTTGGAATTCCATTTAAGCAAAAAGGTAGGGATATTTCATTCGCATTTCATATTCCGATTCCCAAGTGACATCTGGTCCCTTGTGATAACGCCACTGAACCTTTACTAATCCAACCTCTTTGTTTCGCAACTTCTTTACTTTGTAGTCAGTAATTTGTTCAGGGGTTTCTTCAAAACATAACTTTTCATCTACCGTAATTTCAGGTAATGGTACTGCCACATCTGGACTTATTAGACATTTCCTCAAATTCGACACATGAAACGTGTCATGAATCCTACTTAATTCCAAAGGAAGTTCTAATTTGTAAGCCACTTCCCCAACCCTTCCAATAATAGAGAATGGTCCAACATATCTTGGACTTAATTTTCCTCTTTTTCCAAAACGTACCATTCCTTTCCAAGGTGATACTTTTAACATTACTCTATCACCCACTTGAAACTCAATCGGCTTCCGACGTTTGTCTGCATAACTTCTTTGTCTATCTTGTGCCGCTTTCATTCGTTCTCGTATTATTCCAACTTTATCTGCAGTTTGCTGAACTAACTCAGGCCCAGCTAACTGTTTTTCACCTATTTCATTCCAACACAATGGAGTTTGACATTTTCGCCCATACAAAACTTCGAAAGGTGCTGCCTGAATACTTGAATGGTAGCTATTGTTGTATGCAAATTCCACCAGAGCCAAATGACTATTCCATGATCCTCCGAAATCAATTACACATGCTCTAAGCATATCTTCTAAAGTTTGGATAGTTAGTTCACTCTGCCCATCAGTCTGAGGGTGATAAGCTATACTTAGCTAATTTGCGAACCCATTTCTCTTTGAAAGCTCTTCCAAAATATAGAAGTGAACC